GGTTTTTATCGTGGGTTCCGGTGGGGGGGGGGGGAAGGGGGAGGGGCTTCCCCCGCCCACCCCCAGCCCAAGTCCTCCGGGGATCCCTGCCCGGAGCAGGGCTTGGGCCCTCCGCCCTTGATCAAATCCCAGCGGGGAGTAGATCTGCTCCCCCTGCCCTCCTGGGTGGCGTCCTTGGCATTGGCCAGGAATGTCGGTAGCCTGGTCTGAAGGAATCCTTCCTTCACGTGACTTGAGGGCCTGGGGAGTGACTGGCAGGCGGGATGGAGTGGGCTGCTCCTCCATCAAGACCACCCTCTGCTGTGGGTTATGGGTCTGAACATGCAGGAGCACTAAACTGTTGGGGGGGGGGAGCCAGGTCTCTTCAGATGGTTTCCATGGCTGCTAGGGGTGATGGGATTTGTATTCCAACACCAGAGGCATCTGGGCTGGAAAGGCTGCCCAAAACAACCATGCCCACCACCGTTCTGCTGGGGTAGGCTGGTGTTTTTGCATCCTGCCAGTAAAGCATATCCTGCGCCTCAGTTTACCCTTTGCTTTAAAGCGTAAGGGGGCATGTTCAGTTCTGGCTTAGCGCCCTCCTCGTGTTTTGCTACATTTTCGACTGGAAGGTTAAGTGCGTTGGGCGAATCTGGTGCGGTCCATCCGGGCTGGTGTGCTTCAGGCGCTGGGCGGTGGCTTTCCGCCAGAGGAAGCAGGTTTCTTGCTTCTCAGAGATCTGGTGCTGTCCTGTGCCTCAGTGTAGGCAGCCCCAATCCCCCTGCGCACCCGTTCCACCGTGTCACCCGGTGTCCCAACGGTCCTGATCGGAGACTTTGGCCCCCTTCTCTTTCCCTCCTTTTGGCCCCAAATGGTTCCCTTTTCCGTTTCTGCGCCTCTGCCGGCCCTGCGGCTCCTTTCAGGAGCCACGAGCAACCGCCGGCCGTGCCCTGTCCTTTGGCCTCCTTTTCAGTGCCAGGCCGGACCTGCCGCTGCCAGACTGCTTCCTCTCCCTGCCGCAGCAGCCGAGGTGACATTGATTTCCGTCTCCTCTTTCCAACTTCAGTTGCCATGGTGACTGGATTTCGTTTCTCTGCCGTGCCATGCCTTTTTCTCCAGTTTGGCACGTTCTGAAAACAGACGAACCGGTCAGGGAGGAAAGGGGCAAGGGGGGGCGGGCGTGCTCCTGCCGGACATTTGGGCAATGGCAGCCATCGGGCTGCAGAAGGCTTGGAAAGGGGCCGTGCGGAGAAGCAGCCCTGCCTCGCCCTGCAAGTCTCTTTTCCACCGGAGCAAAGGCAGGGGCGAAGAGAGGGAATCGTCTCGGCCGGTGCCCTGGCCTTCAAAATGGTGCACCAGGCCTCTCCGTTGGGGAGCCTCCTTCCTTGGGGAGAGGACCCAGGCTCAGCAAGGGCTCTGGTGAAGGCCCCCAGCCCCAGGACCAGAGAGGGCAGCTCCTGGCCGTTCCTCAAGGACATTCCTCCACCTCGACCCGTGCTGGGAGTGGGGCTGCCTGGACCAAAACGTGATGGGGAGCCTCTGCCTGGCTCCCTGCAGCGTTGGCAGCCCGCCTGGAAGGGCTCTTCATTCACCTGAGGGCAGTCAGGGAGAGGTGCTTGTCCTCCTCCCCCCGTGGGCCCATCTGGGGCTGAAGCTGGAGCCTTCAAAAGTGAGGCAAGGATGTGGTCCTGGAGCCGTGGCCTGCTGAAGAGGGAGGGTGCCCGGCTGGGATGTCTGCAGTCAGTGGTGCTTCTGACTCTTTCGCCCCGCCTGGCCCAGGGCGGGAGTGGTTCGTTGCAGAGGTCCACGTCAGCGGGGATTCAGTGGGTCCTTCAGCTGACCTAGGAGGGATCCCACGGGCATCTTTGCAATGCACGCTCAGCATAACCGTGGACGCTCAGCAAATCTCACCCAGCGAGGGTTGTCGAAACCTCACACCCTCCGGTCTCCCTCCCGGGGGTTGGCCCGCATCAGCAGCCCGGCAGCTGGGGGCAGAGACCTGGCCTTCCAAACCGGCGGGGAATTTGATTTGGGTCTTGCTGGAAAATATCACCGCAGTCTACACGCAGGAGCTCATAGACCCAGGGTCCTCCTTTTTCCATTTTTTACGGATGCAAACATCTAAGCATGCCAGGAAAAATGGCCCTTAGAATCCTTCCAATTGTATGCCAGGTTTTCTACATGCAGGGATTTTTTTTCCGACTGGAAAAATGCCCTGTCCTCCCCTGAAAGGCCGGCATGTATTTTGGTCCTCAGGCATCTGAATTCCAATTCAATTCATCGGATTCATTTGCTTTTTCCCTCTTAAACAGCGGGAGCAGATGTCAGTAGAGCTGCTCGGCAGATGCTGTCTTTTTTCCCAGAATGCCGTAGAATGGTACTCTGCCTGGGGCATTCTGGGGGAAAAATCCTCCCCCCTTCATTGTGTATACATAAATGGTGTCCCAAGAGGAAAACTGTCTTCGAAGTTGCTCTGAAAGAGCACAACAGTGCGGGGAGGGTGTTTGAGGGATCAGTGATGCCAGAGAGAAGACCTGCAGCCCACCCACTTTCCCCCACTCGTAGGGATCAGATCAGGAACTGTGACCTCCCTTAGAGGACTGGTGGAGCCACCAGTAATGCGCACGCTTGGAGCACCAGGGAAGTATGATTATTAGCCACTGATTCGAGAACGGTGACGGGAAAGAGATGAGACAAGTTCCTAGGAGACCTCGCTTGCTTTGCGTGAAGGGTTTTAAAATGAAACCCATTCAGCAAGTGTGTGAAATCCAGCACATAGGTATGAAGCAGTTGTGTGGGCGTGCACCCCTCCTCTTCCTCATCCTGCCACAGAATCTGTGCCATTCCCCACACAGATGGGAAAAACACCATGTCGTATGCAGCCAGAAAGATGGGAAGGAAAGCAAAGCCGCAGGAGCCCACGGAAGGCTGATGGATCACCAAGCTGATATCTATGTTTTTATGAAGCGTTTCGAACATACGTCCTTCCTCAGGGACTCCGCAATTAAATTATTGAAAACAATATGTCGCTCTCCACTTATTCCAAAGAGGAGCTACACAGCGGCGGGGGACACGAACTTCTCTGAACACTGGCTTATTCTGTTCAAAAGCCACGGCCCCCGAACGGTCAGAGGGCGGTGCAGGCTTTTTGCACGAGCGCTTGGAGACCTCCATCCTGGGCGGGTTCGCTTGTCCAGGTCTCTTGGAAGTTCTGATCAATAAGCGTTGGGGAAAAAATTAAATCTATCTGAGCATTCCGTTTCGCAACCGTCTGCCACCCTTTCGAGCACGTGGCGCCACGGGCTCTTTTACTCAAGTTTACTTGGCGCATGGTTAGTCGCCAAGATCTGACCCTGGGTGGTGGAGAGAAGCAGGAGTTCCCTTTGCAGGCCTGGGGAGAGGCCAGTGCCTGAAATCCTGCACTGAGGAGGGGAGGTGCTGGCAACATGTCCCACCCGCCCTTGCCAGGAGGCGGCACTGTAAGGATACAACTCACGAAACGAAGCCTGCATTCCCCTGTTCGGATGGGAAAAGGGGACCAGAAGGGTCTCCACAAGATTCATTGCAGCATTTTATTTCCTGGCGGCAACATGTTCGGTTTTAAGCATTGCGGTTTGGCAGTCCTAACAGCAGGTTGGATTAATTCTGCTGCCTCGGTTCTCAGCTTGTAGGGAAGGGGCGATGTTAGGCTAGGACCAAGGGGAGAATCATAAGGTTGGAGTGGACCTAAGAGCGTCCAATCCGGCCCCTGCTGAGTGCCGGGTCTGCTCCAACACCTCTGACAGGTGACCGTCCAGCCTCTGTTGGAAGATCTCCAGTGAAGCCAGTTCCACCAGCTGATTCTGGAAGTTCCTCTCAACCCACTCTGAGCTGCCTTTCTTGTAATTTTAACCGACTGGTTCTGGTCCATGCCTTTCGGGCAAGCCACTCCTCTTCTGTGGGTCAACCCTTCAGATATTGGAAGACCGTGGCCCTATCTCCCCCCACCCCCGGTCATCTTTTCTGCAGGCTAAACATTCCAGAAGCTTTCACTCGTTGGGCTCGGTGGTGCCCAGAAGTGGACGTGGGACTCAGAACTGACCAGGGCAGAGGAGAGGGGAAACCATATTCTTAGTTTGCCAGGCAGCCCTCTGCATAAGATGGGCGCAGGGCTGTGAAAATCTTGGCACGCGTTTTTCATGGACAGAGGCTTTCAGAGAAGTGCTCGAGATCTTCCAAGTGTCTCTTCCAAAAGGAATAGCAAGCCAAAGGCCAAACTCCCAGCAGTGGGCATTTCGTTCTGTGCCCCCAACGGAGGCCCTTGTCACAGCCCGAAGATGCCTCCTACGAGGGCAAGCCAAGCCTGGTGCTTCTTGTGAGTTCTTGGCCTCCCCCCACCTGGGCATGGCCTCTGCCAGCTGCAGCTATAACTCCCCCCCCAAAGATGGACTCTGCCCGTCCTTTGAAGAGTGAGAAGCAAGGCAAGGCTGGCACCATGATCCATTGCTGATCACGAGAGCGCGAAAGCTGGGCCGATTATGCATGATGAAAGTGGGGTAGAAGTGTAGATTTATAGGAATGTGAATAAATTCCTGTCAGCCGGCGATGATTATCTCCTTTACTCTCCAAGGCGCTCATCTTCCCTCGTACATGGTGTCTGGGGTTTCAAAAGCCTACTTTTGATTGGGATCTAGTGCTCTCTGTTGGAAAATAAATCTCTTGCATTTTCTGCCAAGCACCAGAGATACTTAAACATGAAAATTTCTAGATTGATTTGGAAAAGACTCCAGGCCCTTTTTTCATCTCGTGTCCTAAGTGGGTGAGTTCTCCGAAGTCTTACAGCTTTGCCTGGGCTGGTGGTGGAACCGCTTCCAAGCCCACGTTGAGTGTAATTTGCCCATGCCGCGTCCCCTTCTGCCCACTGGGGGAGTTGCTGTGGCATTGGAGGATGTCTGCGAGCTGCGATGCCACATGTGGGAGAGCTCCAGGGTGGCTGGAGGAAAAAGACGGTTGGTTTGGTTGGAGACAGGAGGAACCGTTCGTGGACCTTTGGACCAGGTGGGGGTTCCAATCCCTGGGCAGGGAACAGGGGAGCAAGGATGGTCTGGGTACATCTGTTCTGGGGAGATCCAAAACAGAAATGGGAGAAAGGTGCACCCAGGTGAATCGCAGAAGTGAGGCGTGTTAGGGGCTGAGAGGTGGGTCTGGCCCCTGGTCAGGCATTCTCCTAGCCGTGTTTGCAGGGGCAGAAGAGCTCTAAGGCAGGGAAGATACAGAATCAGGTGGACCTCTGGGGCTTGACCTCTTCCCAGCCCCTTCCACTGCCCCAGGGGCATGGGGACCCTCCTGGCACCAGAAGGCCACTTAGCACAACCACGGTGACCGGGCCTTCTGGTGACTGCTGTGGGTCCCAGGGTCCCACTGCCCTCTTAAAGGAGGATAGCAAGCGAGGCTTCCAGCAATTGCTCAGTAGGAGGGGGCTGCCTGTGAGATGGGCCTGCGGGGTGGGGGGAATGTGACACAATTCATTTTTGGAGGGCTGAATCCTCAGGGAGAAGCACCATGCAGGGAATCCTCTCCTGAAGACATCTGAGAAGTGAAGGATGGAGGGGATGAGGGGAGTGGAAACGGGTGTCAGAAGTGCGTCAGACTGGGGCTTCCTCTGTAGGTGCCCTGATGGGTAAGATCCAAGAATCTCAGGTTAAGAGGCCTTTCAAGCATCAAGCCCCATCTCCGATTTGTCCCGTGCCTGGTACACTGTCTCTGACCATGGAGGCTCCAATGCGCGGTCCTGGCTCCCCTCTTAGGAGCTGTAGCTGTAGCCCAGGGGATCTGGAGGGCACCGGGCTGGCGACTCTCCCCCCTAGGTCGCCTTTTCCTGCCTGTGAGAAACCCGAATTGTAAGGTTGTTGGGATGGTGTGTGTTTGTGTGTGTGTAAGACAGTCACTGTTTGCATTTCAGCCATTAAAGGGGTAGGGTCAGAACAAGTGGAGGCCGGGTTTCTGAGGATGGGGACCAGGAGCGCTGATGAGGAGCCCAAAGCTCCCTGCCTCCCCTTACAACATCCTTCTCACACCATTCAGTGCCGGTGTATAATTTCCTAAGGTACTCTGTAGCCATGGTGATAAGGAAGGTATAATTACCTCTACTGGGGAAGGCAGGTAGATAATGCTAAATATTTTGTCCTCCTTCCTTTGAACAATAACATGGTCTGGAGTTCGTAGTGTCCCCCTCCCTCGGATTCATTGTCCTTCCCAGCCGAGGCCACCCCCCGGACGCCTCCCTCTGTCCTGGCAGCCTCGTGAGCCCCTTCGGCGTGGCACGCAGTGGGCATCCCTTTGGGAGGGAAGGGGCAGGTGTGCCAGGCAACGCCCACAGCCAGGACTCCGAGATGGGGCAGAAGTTGGAGTCAGCCGGGCAGGGTCCCTTTCAGCAGCGTGTTCTTTGCTGTCTGCTGTTGACCCCGTGTTGGGATGACCAACTCCCCAAGTTCAGGGAACTGACATTTTGCCCCATCAATCACCCTGATGGGGGCCCTGCTGGGATTCCTTGGGCCGGGAGGAGCAGGCAGCTGGCAGCAGGAACGGGCATGGGGTATCTCGTGCCCAGCTGTGCCGCTCCCCCCCCCCCCGGTCGCCCCCCCGCCCCCAGCGGGGG